AATCGAAGCTGCTGATAAGATGAACTCCCAGAAGTCCGTGGGACTTCATGTGTTTGCGTTAAAAAAAGAAATGCTTTCATTTATTTTTTTTATGTGAAGAGATGGGCTCCTATTGGAAGGAGGCATTATTTATTTTGCACTGTAGCACGATCAGAAGGGGCTATTGATCTGTGCGTGAGAGTCGGCCTCTATTCCGCGCGCAGTGACGTGGCCATGAAAACACCATTAGCCCGAGCAACCTCTCCCCCCTTAAAAACCTGCACACAGCTTGCAAATCATCCTGCGCCAAGGCCAATACAAATATCAGAATCTAAAAATACTCTGCGTAAACGCAACACAAGTGATTTTTTTATTGCACCGTTACGTGTGGATGCGTGCTTACGCGCAGCCAAATACATAAACCGTGATTTCTATTTCATTAACAAATATTCTTCTAAATTTCATCACCGTGATTATCATCACCAATTGATTTACTGATGAAGGTCTCGTCAGACCGTTGCCATAAAAAAAGAAGCAACCTGGCCATAAACGATATCTGAACGAAATGGCCTATCATGTGGAAATTTATAGCAGCCAAATATTCTAAATGCATGTTTTAAAATGTGGAGGAAAGAAGCAGAGGGACCCAGGGAAAAATCCACGCGACCACGGAGAGAACATGCAAACTCCAACTATACAGGCGTCAGGGTCGGGGTCGATCCCACGACCTCCTTCATACCAGACGAGGAAGTTAACATTTCTCCACAACGTATACCTTGCAAGTGTGCAATGCTAATAGCCGCTATCCAACTCTGGCACATGAAGCAACCACATCACTCGATCTCCATGGTAGCTGTTCGGTCGGGCGTGTCCTCTCCTTCCCGCACCTTTGATTAGTGTGATTGGATGTCACTAATCTTGTCCATCGGCAATCATCCCTTCTGGCAAGTTGCACTGCCGAAGCCCACTTAACTTTTTATAACGATGAATCTGATTTACTCTGATTTTAATGTGTTCTCTGATCCATGTGCTCTACTTTCTCTTATTGTAAGTCTGGCAAAGCATCTCTCCACATTGTTTGGAATGTTAAACTACATAAATTGAGAATGCATACGTTTGAAATGTCATTTTATATTTCTTCTTGAAAAATTCGAATATACACTAAAGCCTATTGTTGTGCATGCAGTGTCTCTGATGCCTGCAAAGATCACTAAAACGCAAGACTCAAAACGTACAGCAATCACTTATAACACTGGTCAACACACTTTTTCTGGCATAAGGTATTCCAACGGTTTTAAGGTAATTTTGGGGTGCTGATTCCAAATCTGGCATCAGGTTTTTGAGATATCAAATATTGCATTTTCAATAAAAACTGCAGAAGAAAAATATTAAATAAATGTGGATATCTACATAAAATTATATTATAAACATACTATCCTAAAAATACAGCACCATATTTTAGCACTAAAGCAGTCACTGACTCGCAACAACTTGCAATCATAAGTGACAGAGTTAATTTCGGGTAAAATCAATGAAAATGGGGTATGCCAATAGCATAAAATGAGATGTGATAGAGCAAATCTGAGATCAGATTTGGAATCAGCACCCTGAAATTAGTCTAAAACAGCTGCAAAAGTCCTGGCCAGAAAAAAAAAAATATTTGTTGTTGACCAGTGTAATCGATTGTCCCCCACACGATTCAATGCATGCATCGTGAACAGGAGAATTGATTTCATCTGACATCGGTGGCGAGTCGCATCCGAACTAATCCCAGGCTGCCCGCTCGCCAACCCACAGTGCCCAGCGCGGCGAAAAATCGTCAAACAACCCGCAAGACCGAAATGGCATGGGGAGACCTTCATACAGCTGCTGGGTGGACAGAGAGAGGGATGTACCGAGAGGAAACTCACCCGCGCGGAATGGGTAAAACTCAAAGCTCCGCACGAATGTGTTCAAGAATCCTTTGCTGTGTCGCCATCTCATGGCCACCTCGTAGCTCAGTCCTACCAGGCTGATTATTCCCAGGCAAGTCTTCCATCAAAGTACTAACCAGGCTCAACCCTGCTTCACTTCGGAGATACGACCATATCGGGCACACTCACGGTGATCTGCCCACAGGTGTACACTTCAAGAAAATACAAAGACACCCCCCCCCCCCCATATAGCCTCAACAGACTGTAGAGGCAAGTGCTGTTAGCGAGCATCTATGAAGGCCGGCACAGCACACGAAGGGATGAGTGGCAAACACCATGCCCGAATGCCTTTGTCTCGCTTGTACTCATTTGAGGCTGTGTCGACCTAGGGGTGGCCCAGGACTGGTTCAGATAATCATCCCTGGTGTTGGCCGTGAGCGGGAATTGAACTCGGGTCACCAGGTCCGTAGCTTCAACTCCCACCAAGTAAATTCACACACACACTAACACACAACGCTCTTGAGACAAGTGGATGGGCATGCAGGCCACATGCCCCAACCAATGCATCCTTATCCTGCCAGATAAATTCAATGATAAGGAATGTTTCTATCCAAATATTTCAAGTTTCTGTGAGCTCCTCAAACATCTCAATACGGATAAACCCAGTTGAATAATATAAGGTTCATCTTCTTGGTTCTTTCGGTAAAGTCACGTAGAAGGGAAAAAAAATATATATATATATATAATATAATAAAGTAATATAATAAAATAATAATATAATAAACTTTTATTTTATTATTTCCCTTCCACATGACTTTACCGAAAGAACCAAGAAGATGAATCCCTGCAGTCACGAAAGCTTTAAATCGAAATTTAATATAAGGTTGTTATTTATTAAAAGCCGCCCTCCTTGTCGCCGGGGCTTCTACAATCACTGTACACGCGATAAAGCCACTCACACCCCATCTCAAATATTTTAAAAGGGCATCCCCAGTGGCAGCTTTCCCTGTGGGGCACAAGGTGACTGGTGTGTGAGGGGGCATCAATATGCCATTCAGGGGGGGACGAGGATTGCCACGTGAAATCCCAATCGAGGCATTTGCCGGTAATTTTTTTTTATTTTGGCAAATTTGGGCCACGACGCCAGTACACAATGGCCTGCTCATTTCAAATTAAGTCAGCGGCACGGTTATGGCATCTTCCACTTCCCCCGACCGCTTCTGCCAATATTAACCGCCAGTCTCAGTCGGTTTGTCTCTAATTTCTCGCCTCTTGTTTGGTTAATTTCGCGTGCTGCCCCTTGTGGTGTCGCTCTTCTCCTCTCCGTGAAGCCCGTTCTGAGCATTCCGTGGTTCATCGTGACCTTCGCGGCGAATATTCCAGTTTTTCAAGCTCGTCCATTTCCCCCGCGTTTCTCTGCGCTGGAGCGAGCGCCTCTGCTGCCGTCTCAACTGCAGCCGATCCCCCAAGGAATCGGAGCATAAAATGAGAAAGGGTGCCGTGGTGGCGAGATGCTGACTCCCTCGTCTGGTATGCAGGAGGTCGTCGATTCGACCCTCATCCGGACAACTGCTATATATTTGGAGTTTGCAGTAACTCTCTCCGCGTGGACACGTAGGCTTTCCTCTGGGTCCTCTGGTTTTATCCCTCCACATTTAGAATCAACGTGCGCTGAAAGTATTTGGCTGCGATACATTTCCATGTGATAAGCCATTCGTTGGGCTATCATTTGTGGCCAGGTTGTTTCTGAAAAAGAGCTACATTGCTCAGTGAGCCCTACCTGGTAAAATGAAAAAAAAAATTATATAGATTAAAGTGCATAACCATGCGAGTAGCCTACTTTATTCCTCATTCCTTGGATGGGAATACATAATTCACGTTAAAAAAATGGGGGGGGGGAAACAAACGTAAACTTTAAATAAATAAACCTAGAACTTAAACAAAAAGGCTAAAATGATTCAGACCCATCACAATACAATCAATTGTTGTCATTCAGAATCATGATTCAGTGAAATAAATATATCAATGTTTTGTTAACATTGTGGAGAACGGAATAAAAATTAAGTCAATGGTGAGATTCGAAATGACACACAGAGACAAAGGTCGGAAAAAGAATATACAGAAAATAAGTCGGAAAGTTTCACGCCAACTCATGAACTCTGCAGTGTCCCATCCTGTGCATCGGTGATAATCATTCGAGTGATACAAGAGCACAGAGAAACGTTGAGCAGGTCCTGGCATGGCTGAAGTATGAATGTGGGGCATTAAAAAACTAGAGAGGGGGGAAAATAGCAGGAAATCCTGTCCGCACATGTCCGTGTATCCGTGCTTCCTTTGGATGGCTTTTACCCAAGTCAGCATTTCTTTAAAAAAAAGTTACCACAATACCCAACTATCCAGATTCCATCATCTGCCAATCAACAGATAAACGCCGTTTTTTTAATAACATGGGAATCTGAGCGATCCAAATGTATTTATACATGCAGAGCCCTTATTTGTAAATCCACTGCTGGATGCCGTGCCGGTTATGGGGAAGGTTATGTGACTATACTTCACCACACTGTTTTCAGTGAATTGACAAATAAGTGGTGGCACAGTGGTTAGCTCAGTTGTGCTGTGAACCAGGAAAACCCCGGAGTTCAATTACCAGCCACAGCTAACATCTGTCACATTTTTACTAGGCATGGCCCGCCCTCTTCCCCGACCCGCACTGACCAGCGCAGTGTATGTATGTACGTTGATCATATTTTGCACCGTACGTCGCCAACCGTGCTTATCGGAGGTGTGGGGGGAGGAAGACAACATACTAAACACGAAAAGCAGTTTAAAAGAAATTCGTTTTTAATCGAGATGATTTTAAAATGCAATCGCTCCAGGGGCTTCCTAATATCGGAAGGAAGAGTGTTCCAGACGGCCATAAAAGCGCATCTGAAATTGCGCGATGCAGTGACCACCGTCTTAGTTTGATGGCTAGCCAATAGCCGCTGCTTGTGAGGATGAAAGGACCGGTGATATCTTGCCAAACAATCCCAGTAACCGACGTGGCCTGTAGACAAACGACGGCTGATGATGATGAGAGTTGAATAGTGTGGAGCAGTGCACACTCACCGGTGAGTCAGTCTGCACGGAAGTAACGGTTTGAGTCAATCGTCCGTCGCGTAATTTCTGCGGAAAGACAAAAGTGCACCGTTCGGTTAAAACCGGCAAGGAACGAACTTGCGACATTCATGAGTAGATAAGCATTAAGCCCAAATGAACTTACATCATTCATCAGTATAGCCAAAAGCCCAAATTAACTTAAAACACAATTATTGGGTGATACTGCTGCGTTTGTTAGCAGGAATGCAAAAGCACGCAAAATCTGTCATTTGTTAATACGACTGTGGTCTTAAAAAGGAAATATATATTTTATGTTTCCTTCTCTTCAACCCCCCCCCCCCCCCCCACAGCTCCGTACTTCCCCGAGAGGGTTATCCGAGTTAAGGAAGTGGACACCAGGGATGGAGAGTTTATTGAAACACATGGCACAGACCGGTTCGAAATATAAAACGTTGATAGTAATAATGATTGGACTTCGCATTGTGTCTAAACTGGTGTCAATTCCCATACATGCCCTTCTGTGTGTGCCGGAATCGTTTGTTCAATAAAATACTGTTGGGAAAAAAAAAGGAAAAATATAGAACAGGCAAGATGTTTTTGAGCGTTGGCCCTTCTTCATAGCACTTGGATAAAGAGGGCAGATAGTGTAAATAATAATAAGTAGGAGAGTGCACTTCAACCAAAACGTCACCTATTATATATTTTGCTTTTAAGGGACTGTTATTGTCAAATGAACTCACATCATTCACTAGATTAGCCTGAAGCCAAAATGAACTCACATCATTCACTAGATTAGCCTAAAACCCAAATAAACATACATCATTCTCAAGATTAGCCTAAAGCCCAATGATACATGTGCATCTGTCTCGTACAAAAAAAAACATCGCTTGCACATATGCATTTATGATTAACAACATACCACTCACCAGATAGACAATACATCCTCATGTTTGTTTCTGCTTAATTAAATAATTATCCTAATTTACAGCCTATTGTTGATATAATTAATCATTAAGCTGGCGACCAACACTGGGCCTCTTAATGTCTCAAAAAAACTGACAGATTTCCCACGTGGGGGGGGGGGGGGCAGCAGCTCACAAGATCATCCCCACAACAAGTGGGGGCGATCCTGGGAAAACACATCTCGCATACAATACCCGTAACTCGATGTGTAACCAGAGGTGGAAAATGTGAAAACAAATAAGCCATGCCACTCTAACCCCCCCGGGCAGATCAAACGGCAGACCCTGGGCTGTGCATTGGAATAAGATCAGAAAGATCGCGCGTCACAGAAAGCATGCCCACAGCCTTCTTTTATTGAGCCAAGTCACATGAATGGAGACAATACGTGCTAGGCTCCGCAACAACACAATGGCCATGGGGCATCTGGGTAATCACCCAGAAGCCCCAGGGGAGCTCCAAGTCAATTAGCTGGCAATGCTGAGCACGCTGTGATGATGACCCAGGACAGAGAAACACGGGCGAGGGAGTGGATATGCCAAGTCGCTTATCTTCTAAACTCCCCACGTGCCAAGGCCCCAAATGAGAGTTTAAGGAAGTGGGCTTGGGGGAAGGACCACGTCACGGCTATAAAGGGATGACGGCCGACGGTCGTATGTATGTAATACGTTCAACTTCCTTCGCACCGTGCGTAGCCAACCGCGCTCATCGGAGGTTGCGGTCAAAAAAATGTACGGACTGGCAGCCGAGCGACGGAACGCAGCCAAGCTAATGGTAGACGTCCACCGAGGAGATGGAGCGGTGAATTCAGCTCGTGCGCAGGGACTGGGTGGATTACTATACTGCGGGGATCGTGAGAGGTGGCGGCAGCTTTGAGAGGTCTTCATTCAGCAGTGGACTGACCATGGCGAATGATGATGATGATGCCATGGAGGCAGAGGTCACAAACGGGTTTTGATTCCTTACCCGTACCCGGCCGCACCAGGGTCGCAAACGAGTACCCGTACCCGGCCGTACCCGTACCCTACCTATACCCGGCCGGGTACAGATAGGGTACGGGTATCGGGTACCTGATTGCGACCTCTGGGATGAAGCCATGTTGCAGGCGCGGGTGGGTTGATTCTAGGAACTTGAATTGTGAGAAGAGACAAGACGTTGGGAAATGAGTGACAAACGGTGACTCACCAGTGACTCACGGTCTACCCGTACCCGTACCCGGCCGCACCAGGGTCGCAAACGGGTACCCGTACCCGGCCGGGTACCCGGCCGGGTACCCGGCCGGGTACGGGTAGCCGGGTATCGGGTAGGGTACGGGTATCGGGTACCCGGTTGCGACCTCTGCATGAAGGTGCTCTGTTCAAGAGCCCTGAATTATAATAAAAACTCGCACGTAGCAAGCACATTTTTTGGTCATCGGCCATGATCAATCTGCTCCTGGATGAAGACCTCCCCAAGCCGTCGCCATAGCTTACAGGTCTGCCATGGAATGATCCACCTGGCACTTGCGTACAAGCTGATTTCATCACTCCATCTCCACCCGTGGTTGGCTCCCACTCAGATGCATAAACTTTGGGGTGGAAAAGGCGGAAATGACGGGACAATGGAACTCTTTTACCCCAGCAAAGAGATGCGTTTAGCACCGCGATATGGGGTCACCCACCCCGCCAGTCAACACCACGAGACTCGCTTGACACCCCCCCCCAACCCCTGCGCACCACCCCCTCATCTGGGTGACTACAGCCACACAATGCACAGCGAGATGTTGAACTTCTTTCGCACCGTACATAGCCAACCGTGCTTAACGGAGATGCGGGGGAAGGACAACAAACTAAACACATAAAAGCAGATCTAAAGAAATTCGTTTTCAATCTAGAATTAAAACTAAACTAAACTATGAAATATTATTGGTTCTTTCTACGTGACTTTACCGAAAGAGCCAATAATATGAATCCCTGCAGTCACGAAAGCTTTAAATCAAAATTTTAACTATGAAACATTTATTTTATTTTACAAGGTAAAGCCCACTGAACTACATAGCTCTTTTTCAGAAGCGACCTGGTCACAAATTATATCTCAACGAAGTGGCTTATCACGTGAACATCTATAGCTGTGAAATCCTCTAAACGCATGTTTCTGAATGTGGGGGGGAAAATCCGGAGGACCCAGAGAAAAGTCCATGCAATCACGGGGAGAACACGCAAACTATACAGACGTCAGAGTCGGGATCGAACCGGTGACCTCCTGCACACCTGGCGAGGGAGTTAACATCTCACCATCGCGTCCACATTCTAGCGCCTCGAGCCAACGCGGTGTGGAGGAGGCATTCGCGTCACGTTGTGTCGAAGCGCAACTGGTTTCCGCAATATGGCATTGACGTTCCCCCGCGCGCATTCAACCTTTCTCCTGCACGGTATCCACGCTGCAGCCTGCTCCGTCTGAAAGGTGACCTCAGAGATTGAGAACCCAATGGATTAGCCCATTACAATGGAACCTGTCCCATCCACGCGCACGCACGTATTCACCGAAAACCCCTTCTAAAAACTGAACACAAAGCAGCGAGTTAAACCCTGGCCTGACACGCACACCCACAGTGGGTTTTAAAGCAACTGTTTGTTCAACCCGATTCCTTTTTAGTGCCAAAACAGCTGGCGAACAGGCGGGCTGGCGCTGTACTGCGAGATAAGTGGGGCTCAGAACAACTCTTGCCAACCTCCCCCCACCCCCCACACACACACAGACAGAGCCACCCACACCGGGATAGGGAAAGAGATAAGACTGTTCTCAAGAAAATGAGGGTAAACAAACTCCTTTTCTTACTTTTAACGCTTTGCCAACCAAGGTTCAATGGAAGCGTTTATGCATTTTTCGTTGTTGTCCAGTCCCCCCTTGCACCTCCGATTAGCAAGGTTGGCTAGGTTGGCTACTGTACGGTGCGAATGAAATTCAACATACGCATACAGTGGACTTCGATTTAAAGCTTTCGTGACTGCAGGGATTCATCTTCCTGGTTCTTTCAGTAAAGTCACGTAGAAGGAAAATAATAAAATAAATAAAATAAAACATAATAAAATCATTCTCACGACGTTTCGGCCACAACGCAAGCAGCCGTCCTCTTCCCGACAGACCTGTTCTTCACCTGAGGACGGCTGCTTGCGTTGTGGCCGAAACGTCGTGAGAATTATTTTATTATGTTTTATTTTTTTTTATTTTATTATTTTCCTTCTACGTGACTTTACCGAAAGAACCAAGAAGATACAGTGGACTCTCGATTATCCGCGTGCGGTTTATCAGATTTGCGGATTAACCATGCACCTGAAATTTTGTCATACATTAATTACTCATGGATGTTCCTTTATGCCCAAATTAATAATCTAAAATAGGCTATATACATTGTTATTCTTGGTTCTTTCGGTAAAGTCACGTAGAAGGGAAATAATAAAATAACAAAAATATTCAACAATAAAAATTCTCACGACGTTTCGACTGCAACACAAGCAATAATCATCAGGTGTGAAATCCACAGCAAATTTTCTTGCTGTGGATTTCACAATTGCTTGTGTTGCAGTCAAAACGTCGTGAGAATTTTTATTGTTTTATATTTATTTTATTTTATTATTTCCCTTCTACGTGACTTTACCAAAAGAACCAAGAATATGAATCAAAATTTAGGCTATATACATTGCTATTCTGGGAAATGTTTATTCCAAGTCACGTGCTTAAACCAAACAAATATGTTGCTCAGGTGCATCTGAAATCCACGTGATCGCCTCTACAGTACGGTAGTTGCATAGCTTTACAACAGCGGGCGGTGTTTGTTTGATGCCGATTGGCGTGGCTATCCGTTTAGTGGGCAGGAAAGTGTTCTCACTGAGCACGCGCATCGATCGTTAGTATTCATTGTTAATTTATTCCTATATTAGTGGTCTTTGGCATAGAGATCCGCGAAAAAAGCATCTTTTTGGATTAATCCGCGATTATGAATTATCCGCGGCTGTCCTCCCCGTCATTAGTGTGGATAATCGAGTCTCCTGTACATAGATGAGCTCTGTTGTCTGTCCTGGATGCTGTTTTATATGAAGTTATATTTAACGCCAAAGTGTTACCACCGAATGTGTCGAGTTTCGTTGATTATATCGGGGCCATGGACAGAGGACAATTGCGTGCAACTCACACAAACATTAAATGACTAAGAGTGGACTAAATGTTTGACTGCTCTCGCCAAATGGACTGAGAGAATGAATCAACGCAATCCGCCGGCTAACACTCTGGCCAAAACTTCCGCCGGCTGTCATCGACGACGAGACTCAAGACTGCTACTCGAATAAATAAAAACTGCCGACTCGATTAACACTGCTCAGGTAAACCCACAACCAACAGAAACAGGAAGCAGAACAAAACGATTCATTCTGGGCCAGAACTTTTGTTTTGTGGCCAACGGCAAGACAACAAGGGCTGCATTTTTTACGTTCACTGCGGAGCCCTCGTTCACTGTAAAGAATCAAGCGGACCTTTGAGCCAACGAGCCCCACACGCACACACACAGCGAGAGCCGACGGAGACCAACCTCAACGCGGAAGCCCGTGGAACGGCCCCAGGTGACCCATTTAGGGCGCGTGCGCACACTTAGCGGGCACGATGTGTTTTGCAAGGGATGTCACTTTGCCACGCGCCTGCTATTCCCGCAGGACCAGCACTTATGTGTGTTGAACCGCTTGCGCGCCGTACGGAGCCGACTGTGCTCATCGGAGGTACGGGGGGTACGACAAAGAATTCAACAGGAAAAGCAGTTCAAAAGAAATGAGTTTTCAATCTCGATTTAAAATAAAGGTTGCATGCAACCGAGTTGCACAACTGACCGCTCAGGTGTGAACCTGACCTACAAAACCACCAGCTCATTGCCCTTATTAATTACTATCATTATTTTATTAACATCTTTATAGCAAACCTCTACACCTCATTAGAAATTAATATATTATATTTTAGCAGGTGAGAACAGGATGAGAATTGTTTCAAGTGTCAGTTTCATGGGGGTGACCTTTGTAAACAAGCGATAACTGATACAGCCAGCACGAGGCAACGCCGCTTCAACGGTTCGTAAAAAGAGTGGTCGATCACACGCCAAATCACCGGATTCGCATTAACAACGTTCGCTCTCACGGCTTAGCAAAGCCGATTACATTATTGTTATTTACACTTGCTTACCCAGGAAAGTTTCACCGAGTGTCCTGACTCTTTCAGGAGGGTCCCCTGCCAAATTTCCACAGAAAGGGGGGGAGAGATGCTTGCTATGTCCATTACAATAGAGTAATTTGCGAGTAATTTTTCAAACAGCAGGGGAATCAGGCGGCACGTAAAGTAAAACCTTAGATTGCTAGTAACTTGGTCTGCGAGTGTTTTGCAAGACGAGCACAATTTTTCAATAAATATTAATTTGATAAACGAGCGAGGTCTTGCAATACGAGTAGTACGTGTACACGCTATGTCTGCCGAGCGTCACGTGATCACAACTGATATACGAGTGCTTTGGATTACAAACACGTTTCCAGAACGAATTATGCTCGCAATCCAAGGCTTTACTGTATTTTAAGGTTAAGAGACGTGCAGTATTAACCAGGGCAGCCGCTGGATTCGAAAACCGTGAAGCTCTGGGACAAGCGAGGAACGCCCTACCGCTGAGCCACGAGAACGCCCGCAGTCTGGTGAAAATAATGTTTGGTCGCTCAGGTATTCAAATCGAGTGAAAATTAATTTTTTACACGATAAACTCACTCTGTCTGTTGTTGTCGTATCCTCAAATCTTGCAGCAATTTTAACCCACTTCCCAATGTCGTATCGACTGCCAACTTGGTATACTTATGTCTTACTGATGACAATACTATATTCTATCATTAAAAATTAAAAATATATATTTTTAAACTATCTTTATTATATGTTATTTTCGGCTTGGGTCGAATTGTCCACGCTTAACTCACGTTGGCTGTAAATCACCACGACCCCTTACGTTGTGGCAAGCTTCGGGGCCACTTCCTGGAGTCGTGGAGTTCTGCCATTACTCGTACGGTACATTTCATGAAAGCGTGTTTTTAAAAAGTATTTATTATATTATTTATTTTATGGTGACTTGGCCGAGACTATTGGTCACAGGAGAAAATTCAGTTTAATATTCCCATTACATACAACGTATAGGAATGGATAAGGATCGACTCCCGGCACTAGCGATTCCATGCGTACATCACGAGCTTCTTAATAAAAATTAACGGATGACTCGGCGCATCGTGACACCTCTACGCAGCATGCACAAAAGCTCTTGTTCCACAGAGTCACACTGTAACCTTTATGTTCTGTGCGTTAGCCTCTTCTCTATTCCGTTATTTTGACCTGATCTCATTGTTCTTGGTTCTTTCGGTAAAGTCACGTAGAAGGGAAGTAATAAAATAATAAAATAAAACATAATAAAATAATTCTCACGACGTTTCGGCCACAACGCAAGAAGATGAATCCCTGCAGTCACGAAAGCTTTAAATCGAAATCTGATCTCATTGGTTTGACTGATGTGGTCACACTCATCGGCTTGGGGAATGTTATCTTACACTCGCCCTCTTTACAAACTGTGTCTCTGCTACTTCCACTACTGGACTCATAAAACTTCAAATGAGCAGGGAGCTAAAAAGGGGACCAAACCTTGTCACGTGGAAAGACAACCGGTTTTTCTTTCCAGGAGCCATCTGTGTGACCAGGGTTCAGATGCTTATCTCTTGAGTTCAGAGAACAGATAAAAAAAAAACACTGAGAGAGGTCACTTAGGAGTATCCCGAACAGCAGCAGCGGGAGCATCGATTAAGCAGCTTGGCTCCATTTCGCAAGGTTTTCGTGCTGTACAAGCTCTCCAATGAATTACCCGGCACGTGGGGAGGAAAAACGTCCGGACGTAATGCCGAAAACACGCCGGGGAGCTTGGCACTGTTGTTAAAGTTTCACATGGCGGGGGTGAAAGATCAAGTTTCATCACCGATGACGGTAACACCCTCGTAAAGAATCGCGTCAGAGATGCGACAGCGTTGGTTTTTTTTACTTCGAAAGCTCAAAGAATGACCGAGATGAAAAGTGTGCAGTCCTGCAATTACTGCTGATGAAAGGAGTGGCACTGTAAAGACCGCTCAAGAGAGTCCATCTAGAGGGTGCTTGGCCTACTCTTCCACACTGTAAGGACACGGCTGAATCTCCAGAGATGTAGCTGGACCACTTGCCTCACGCTTAATCTCCTTGGCTTCGTAAGGGCACACACGCACTTGTACAGCCCTTTTGTCAAGCCACTGCTGGATGAGGGCCTCCCAAGCTGTACAGTTTGTGGAGGTCATGTGACCATACTTCAGCACGCTGGTCGAAGCGGGTAGGTGAAGGCGTGGGGAGGCAGGGGAGCATAGATGTAGGAGCACAGCAGTACAGTACAACAGTGTATTTTGCTGCACTGCCACGTGCTGCACATTATGTGCCCCCCACAAATGCAGCTCAACGGAGGCAACAACAACAATCTGATTGGTACAAAGTGATCACCATATCGAAGCGGCGTTATCAAGGCTCAAGCCCGCTTAGCTTCCAAGATCCGAACGGATCGGCGGGCAGATTCCAAGTGGTTCGGTCAAGAGGTTTTTACGACAGTTTGAATTCGTAAACATTTTTCCCGGCTGCTAAAAGAAAAAGCCTCCGCCGTCCATTCTCATGCTGATCGTGTCGTTTTCATCGCAATTCAAGCGACACAAATTCTTCTCAACACAATAGTGGGGGCCGGCAGAGATTTTTTTTTTTCGTCAAGAGAGAGAGAAAGTTGTGATGAATACGAGGCACGGGGCACAATTGTGATGCTGGCGTCTCAAGAGCTACAGATGATTCTTAATAATTTGACAGACATCATGGAAGATCTTCTTGGGTAAAAATGCATTATTTACTATTATTACAATGATTAAATTAAAAGGTGACCGAAATCAATTTTAGTCAACCGGATGTCAAAAACAGGAAGAAGAAAAACTTCTTCAAACATGACACCATTATCGTTTTTTATTAATCATCATCTAAAATGAGTTCTGACTTTCGATTTAAAGCTTTCGTGACTGCAGGGATTCATTTTCTTGGTTCTTTCGGTAAAGTCACGTAGAATGTAAATAATAAAATAATAAAAATTAATATATAATAAAATTATTATCACGTTTCGGCCACAACGCAAGCAGCCTTCCTCAGGTGAAGAATAGGTCTGTCGAGAAGACTGTCTTAGACTCTGTCTTCTCGACAGACCTATTCTTCACCTGAGGACGGCTGCTTGCATTGTGGCCGAAACGTCGTGTGAATTATTTAATTATGTTTTATTTTTAGTATTTTATTATTTCCATTCTACGTGGCTTTACCGAAAGAACCAAGAAGATGAGTTCTGACTTAACGAGCACCACATTACATGTGATGGGACAAAAGGGGGTGGGGGGGGATTGCATTGCCTTTCGGTGAACAAACAGCGGCCGCCCGATATAGAGAGAGAGAAAGGCAAACAAGATGTGTACAAACCTCACACCCCGACTCAACTGTACTTTTTCCCATCTCCCGTATCAACCGCAGAGTAACACAACCACCACACCCCCCACCCCACCCAGAACCATCGCAAAGGGCTTTGTCACACAATATTTAATACCTTAGGCGTTGTTAGGGAGACTCTGCGGTGACATCCGCTTCGTCGCGGGCAGCCCGTTGTCTCTTACAGCTGCTGCAACGGGCAGGTCAGTTCACCTGCAGGGCAGCAAGGCGAGACAGCGGGGGTTAGGCGTGATGTGGCTTGACCGCAACTGTGGTGGCTGTGGTGGCCTCATACTGGTGACGTGTGGTGGGCTCACACTGGTGTGTTATGACCTCGCACCAACAGCGTAGCAGATGGCTGCGACGCTGGGGCACCTGGGCGCACCTATCGGTGGCTACGGAGAACCAGCCCACGAGCCAACGTGATTTCGCGTTCATACGAGCGTTGCGCATCTCCCGTTTGCAGCCCTGGCAAAAAATTCCACACTTCTTTGATGGGGTCGAGTCAATCCATAGGACAATCACTGTGGTATTTATTTAAACGATCCGTGGGAGGGATGATGGGCCGAGAGAAATCCTCAACCGGGATTCGATCTCCCAACTTTCTGAATGCGAGCTGACCCCTCCACGGCCGAGCTATCTGGCCGATTAAAATTGCCGAACTCATCGATACGCGACAAACGACGTACAGCGGGCGAACCAAAATCCGGTTGCCCCATTTCTCAAGGTCGTTTCCACTCTTGCGAAAAGATGGCCAACAATATCAGAGATAGAACACCCCCTGGTTCCGACACCTCACTGTACTTGTACCTTCCAGATTCAGCGCTCAGCGATTCACTGCAGGCACTAACTCACCGGACGGACAGTCAGTAACCTCCTGAAATCGGATATAAGCCGTTTGGAGTGCTGCCCGAAACCTGAAAAATTCAAGGGAGCATGCATATGAAGCCCTAAATCGTATTTAACTTTTAATAAACATCCACACATCGCTTTATGATGTTAGCTCATAATACACACAATTCCAACCAAATTAATAAACACAGGTTATGCGTGTTGCGACAGCTGTCACGACGCAAAACGACGCCAACAAAACCAGGTTGAATGGCTTTTTTTTAATTCCTAAAGTATTTAGGCCAGGGGCAAAACCCAACCATACCAGACAGAAGCCGCCCACTTACTGTATGTACGTAAACGAACAACACACAGGTACATATGGACACAGATAATAATGAGAAGAGTTTGGCTCGTAATGCCGGATACGCTGTGTGTGTGTGTCCTCTCTGATTAACTATTTTTTAAAGATGTAACTGGTTCTTGCCAACGATCGGGCGATTTTCTCTTTCTCTATCGCTTCCGATCTTATAATCCACATCTCTGTTGTGTCTCCCCACCCACACCAATGTCCCCGGCTGTCTCCACCTGTTCTCTGGCCGGGATTGTTAGTTTACATGAGCTCATTATTTCTATTGCAAAGCTTGTTTTACCCTTTTGCAGGAAGATCCTGCCAATGTTTCGTAGCAGGAGGTAACGTTGTTGCTCTGTGCGATCCCAATTGGGCAAACTTTGCGGGATATTTTTCAACATTGGGATGCTTGGCCAATAGCAGTTACATTGGGTTTTCTTGTTTAGCTTTGGGAGAAAACTGCAGAACGCAGAGGAAACCCACGCAGAACAGGGGTAAGAACCAAAACTCGGGAAGGAACACAATTTAGGAATCGAACCCAGGCCCTCAAGATTGTTACCACCGTAGTATTGCCCCTTTGACCAAAACGCCAGATATGCAGCGTTCTCTTTGATGAACTCTTAAGAACTGCATATAATGCATGCGTAATGTGCATGCATTATGCATATTGATTAACCGTGAATAACCAACAAAATTCTAGATATCCATTGTAATTTATATGAAGACATTAACCCCCCCCCCCCCCCCGGTCCTCGTATCTGATTGGCTCATCACATCTATCCCTATTTAAGACCGAAACAGGAGGAGGATTTCTCAATAACTCTGGCTGTCGCCTGATGAGGCTGGTGGTAATTACCAGTGAAATTTGTGGGTTTACTCTCCCCAACACACCGGTGGGATAAACTAGGAACGAATTGGCACATTTTGTTTACGTGACAAACATTACTTATTAGCTGTGCCTATTATGGACATAAGGCAATCTCTACAGCCCTTCTGACCTCAAAAACCGACCTCAAAAACTGAATGACAGCCCAAGTGTAACAACGCAGGGTTTCATCGATTTACACAACGGGTTCATGTCACTCCTGCAGCCACAAGAGGCGCCTCCATTCATCGCTGTAAAAAAATATAAAGTTGCCACCCAACTCACGGAGAGGGGGTTGGGGGGGGGCGAAAGGGAATGACTCCTGCCGAAACAAGGTCCATATAAACTGGGCGAAAAAAAGCGAAGGACACAAATACCACACAAACTAAAGATCTAAATGGATCCCAACCGCGTTGGGGTGAACGCTGTCACACAACGCGGGGAGCGTGGAGTGCAAGGTGGCAGCAGTATTAACGCGGCCCAACCTGTTAAATGAAAAATTATGATGAATGCCACCAACGCGGCGACCGGAACACCGATCATCGATCTCCCAGTCTCCAGATCAGAAGAAAATATATTAAAATGAAACGTAACGGAGTGAACGCGTGCCACAAAAACGCAAGTCTAAACTAACACGTCAACGCAGCCCAACAAATCGCTAACCCCCCGTCCCCTGCAGTAATTCCAACGACTTGCGTTTCCACAATTCCAGTTCGTGTCTCGTTTGCGTGCTTGATTTTTTTTTCGCTTCTACGGTTTCGCACGAACGCTGCGTTTGCGCGAACGCTGCGTTCGCGTTAACGCAACATGAGCGCACCGTTTGCGTGCGATTTTTGCACGAACAGCAAATGTGATTTTACGTGCGTGAGATCTCGCACAACAAGAGCTTGGGCATCGGCTGAGGTCGATGAATCCAATACATTGTGGCACGCCTATAACAACCCAAAATGGCAATGCGTGATTAATAAATTCAAATACCACATGCATTTTCCTGGCATTTTAATCTATTGTAAAAGCCCGGCGTTCCGTTTGTCCATCAACTAAATGATGACAGCCTTAAAAAAGGCCTGAATCAAAAAGTTATAGAAAGTTGACCACCCACCCCCCCAAAGGCGGGGGGGTAAAACGTTGACCTAACAGGTTTACAACAATTGTCGCCCCCCCCCCAAAAAAAGATATGCCAGTCCCTGCCTACACACCCTACATATAATAGTCAGTAGTATCTGCACACATGGGGGGGGGGGGAAGAAGACATCAGCACGGAAATTTTAGCGTGAAAAAATATGACTATGAATTCGCCTTGATCAATTATCACTGTGACTGTTATAGCCAACCCTAATTAGTACCTAGCACTGATAATGCCCTAATTTGCACTCAAATTACCTCCCTGCAGTGTCCCCCTGCTGTACCACATTGGCCATCTCTCAACGGCACTCCTCCGAGCCACGCACTTCGCTGTTAAACTTCTCACCTCCGCTCCTTCGTGCGAACGCATGATTCCCAGTGCCCAACATCTTTGTTGGCAGCCACTGCAACGACGGTGGGTGGCGCGATGATTAGTGTGGTGCCCTGTGAGCTTAGCAATCTGAGATCGAATTCTGACCACGGCTAACATCAGTGGCGAGAGATATCGGAAACCAGTTCACCGGGCCCCCTTCCTTCACGAACCCCACCGATGACCAGAGTGGTAATAAAGTATGGTCAAACAATGCGTGACTGACGTGGCATATTGGGAGGCCGTCATTGAGAATCATTATTATTTTAAATGCAATTACAAAAAGGCCCTTGCAGCATTCAACCGACATGCAGCAATGTATCGACATGTCAATCAAAATAGATTCTTACAACAAAGTGAACTCCGTATGGGTTAATTTCGACTCGTAAAAGTAATTGGCTCATGTGATCCCTAAAGCCCACGAGAGGCACTACACACTCAGCACTGTCAATAAAAAAAATATTCTGGAATCAAATTGCGATCCAACAAAGTGACTTGACAATTCACAAAATTGCAATGGGGTAGACGCGAATCAATACACGACAAATGGTCAATGTAGGAACCCGGCAATTCATCAACAGGAATGTATTCTTATGCTCGCGAATATGGGCATCAAAGCACAGACGTAAGAATCTATAAACCATGTAAATTATAGTCACAGGTTGCGCTAACGTTACATTTAAGCGTGGACAAAACCATACACACAAAGCGGATAACAATGAGTATCAAATAGACAAAAAGGGCTGATCCTGCCATCTGTAAGTCCCTCCCCATTGTAGACCAGCATCCAATTTCTTTCCTTCTACACAAACAGTCCTCTTCTCTCTCTCACCTGCACGTCTTGTGACTTTCTCAGGATGTTGTGCGGTAGTCAATGCTCTCTTCCGACTCCCTTGCTTATCACACACACACTCTCACCTACATACCCCCTGCAGTGCATAGCCTCCCATGTGTACGTAACCTTCTCACCAACCCTTCTGTACATAGAGAAATGGAACCCCCACAGTATAGCCTCCACAGGCTGCTGCTGGGTGGGGCAAGTGCTCTCAGACAACACCGATGAAGGTCGGCACGGTGCATGAGCAGGTGGCGTGGTCGGAACAACGACCGGCCGACCACCTTTGTCTCCCCCCAGAGCCGATGTTTACACATCGCAAAGGCGTTTCGGGGGCTTGAACTCAACAACTGTGATACAATAAAAAATCACCTTCATGCTGGGAATTAGAAACCCGATGCAGTCAAAATATGTCTCGGTTAAATGCACATCTAAACTACGCTTACAACCTTCACCTGCCCAGACAAAAAAAAACAAAGACGAAGATCCCCCTTATAGACGTAACAGTGTCGGGGCAAGTGCTGTTAGCAAGCTCTTACGAAGGCTGGCACGGCAAAAGGGGGTGGGTGACCAGCACGGCAAAAGGGGGTGGGTGACCAGCACCACACCCGGCCGCCTTCGTCTCCCCAGTGGTGATTTTTACACACCGCACCAGGTAATCATTTGAGGCCGAGTCGACCTAGGGGAGGGCCCAGTGCCGGTTAGGATAACCGTCACTGGTGTTGGCCGTGAGCGGACACACACAACTCGATTTAACCAATCAATGGACCGACCATTCAAGACACACCACAGTGACCGGACCAGAACGACTCGATTGATAACACTGGTCAACAAA